TGCCCCGGGCAGCTGGGGGGGGGGCTGCTTCACAGAGGCGTTTGGCGGTGCATCGGCACTGGGGGACGTCAGTAACACCCATCCTTCCAGGAGTCGTCCTCGGGGGCCTGCGCCGACTGTAGAAATCTGGTTGGGGATACAAAAAAAAAAAAAAACAAACCAACCCAAAAGTCACTAAAGCTACAAGAAGGACAGGCCCAGGGAGGTGTTGATACACACAGGAGCGCGTTTGGGGTTTTAGTGTATGCTGGGCTTCTGCAAGATCTGCCTTCGGCCAACGTCAGCGCCCGCCCGCCCGCGGCACCAGGAGGGCAGCGGAGCAGCAGCAGCAATTTTGGGCTGTCCAGAGGAATGAAGTGACTGTTACTGGGGGCCTGAACAGCTCCACTGACTTACTGACGCTGTTGTGGGTTTTTTTTCCCCGTGACTGAGCCCAAGAGAAATATTCCCCCCGCAAACATGACTATGACCACCCGAAAAACGATCAGGTGGTACGTAGAGTACTACTGCAAATGAAGAGCTTAAAAATTCCCTGTCGAGTATTTTTTTTTTTTTAAGTAGTTTCAGTTCAATTTATTGAAGGCTACAACAGGACACTGAAAAAAAAAAAGAAGTATTTGTTGCTTATTACTCTGACACCGAATCAACTTAACTTCCCTCAATCATAGCAGTTTACACTGCGATCGTACTGCCAATAGCTGTAAGAAATGGCTTTAGGCAGTTTGGTAGAGGATTTACCCCAGAAAAGCACAACGGGTGCTGTAGGAGGACGGGCTAAGACCATGCTTCACTAACGTGGTGCAAAGCAGCCCGTGCATGCAGTCCTTGGAAGCATCTTGGAGGCCTTATTCTTGAAAGGGATTGAGTATGTTCTAACTAAGCAGCTCTTGCTTTAGGCCATCTACAAGCTTCAGCTAGCCCCTGCCTAAATATTTAGGAAGCTAATCATAAAAGCTAGAAATAAGCATCACCCCCCCCCCCCCCCAACCCACCCCCATTGCATCTTTCTGGATTAAGATGTGGCCCCTAAATCAGTTCAGACTTGTGCAGCAAGAACAAAAATGTTTCTGGAAACCATTACATACGCTCTGCTTTCACCCTGTTGTATGAAGTTACTCCAAAGACAGAGAGTCATGCTTAAGAGAAGCCTTGTTAATTGGTCCTACTTTCCAAACCCTTCTAAAAACTCATTAGGCCCTGGGCAATGCCCACCCCGAGTCCTCACTAAAGGCTAAGGAAGGAAAAGACAAAAACCCACCCAACTTATGTTGCCAGTAGCGAAGTTACAGAGGCACCAGCGTGGGTCATCTGGGACAATTATTACATTAACAGTAAAGAGACTTTATTAGTCCTTTGCAAGAGCTTTTCCCCTTCCCAAAACCAGACATAGGCACCAAATAAATATGTGCCATCAAGTAAGTTTGAGCCTGTGCCTCTTCATTTCCCTGGGTAATTAGCTTTGCTTAAAAAAAGCGCTTAATTTCTTTTAACAGATGGAACACGGATCTATGTCGCTATTTCTAGTCGCCGCGAGGCGCTGCCTTCTGGCACAGAGGGGACCACCAGCGGCCTCAGGAGGGGGTCACCTCAGCCATTTCTTTGTGCCGAGCCTCCCGCAGGGCTGCGGGTGGAGGTTTTTGTGAAATAAGGCTATTTTCAGTCTTCCCGTGAAGACTCGTGTTTCAGTCATGTTTTAAGCAGTGGGAAGGCAGTAAAGCGGTTGCCTGTTCCACCGCGCCCAGGCCTGACTAGCGGAAGGGGAGGGGAGCTGGCGGTCAGGAGGAGGGGAGCTATGCACGTGGGTCTGCAATGCGAGGGGGGGGTCTCTGAGTTTCATGGTCAAACAGCGTTCTTACGCCCAGCCAGCTGGGGGGGGGGCTGCTTCACAGAGGCGTTTGGC